ACTCCCCCACTTAAAAAGATATCTTACTCAGAGAACAAGTGTGTTCTCAATTCTAGTTTTCTCTCTCTCTTCTCCCTTAAAGAAGTTCTTGTGTATCTATCGTGCATTAAACACCTATATCCATCACTATGATCGGGTTACCATGAGGCAAAGATAAGGCTGAGCATCGCTACCCAAGGTATCATTATCGAAGTCAGCAAGGTTTCTTTCTACACTCATTTTCTTACAGTGGTATTAAAGCAAATATTATTCACGTACCTGTATATTCTTTTATTACTACAATCTCATATATGGGTGTTATCTTGATTTGGTTCAACTATATATCATGCGAATCATTCTTTTTAATTTCATTATGCAATGAATTTGTATTATTCTCTATGTTTTTCATGTTTTTTGGGCATAAATAATGCTTATTGAGAGGATAAAATATACTTAAAAATGTTAAAAGAGAAAGAGAAAGTTATGCCGAGATCAAAAGTAATTTTGTTTTATACTAGATCCCTAAAAATGAGAGATTCAGACGAAATGGTTGGTACCATTGTGTAGTGCTAAAAAAAAACAACACCAAGAATGTCAAAAATAAAGATTGAATGGTGAAGTTACAAAGGAGAGAAAGTTTAGGTTTGATGAACCTAACCCACTGGCTGTAAGCTAGGTTGAAGCGACCTGGTTAGAGGTAAGGGATGATGGCATGTCCAAAATGACACCTCATCTTGCATTTTGATGCCCCTATTAAAAAAAAATTTGCTACATGTGGTTTAGGTTGATTGATAGAGGCCCACCTTACAAAAAAAAGGAAAAAAGCAAATCAGGTTAAGCTATAGAGAGAAAGGCCCACATCCATATTTAAAAAAGAAAAAAGAAAAAGGGTTGTTAAGTCAAACTGACTTAGTTAACCAAAAAATAATATAATAATATTTTTTAAAAATAATAAAAAATTGAAAATAATGTCAAGTGGCAAGTGTGGTCTAATAGAGGATCTAATATACTTATGGAACATATTATCTAAAGGATCTCAACATGTGGATTCTAACTTTGAGGTGCATGTCATTATCCAACGTCTTTAAGGTGGCACGTGAATCTCACTCTTCATTGGCAAGAGTGGAATTTTCTAGATTTTTTATTTTTTTTCTAAATTTTTAGATTCAAACTCATTTTAAGGAAGTGTATGATACGTGGACCATGCAATTGAGATGTGGTTTGTTTATATAAATTCCTAAATTTGACATCTATATTTTGATATATAATTTTTTTTATTTTTAGGTATACTGAAATTAATTTAAGAGATTTTTAGTGCTTATAGGAGCGAATTTTAAGTATTTATAACTTATAAAAATAATTATAATTATTTATCATATATGGATAAATATAAATTATTAGTCTACCAAAGTACTGAGATGTTGGAAAATATCTCTTTAAGAGGTATTTCAAATAAAATATTTATTTCAAAATGTGATCTTTTTGAATGAGGATTCTAAAATAAAGAGGCATAAGTACCACCACTTGGTGAGGATTTAAAAGTAATCTAAAAATAAATGCAAATTAAAGCAATTGTTGACTAAGACCAACCATGAGCTAAATTTTAATGAGAGTAAAATATTCTCATTGAAACGATAATTGTAAAAGTACTACAAATATAAAGTTTCACAATTAATCTTGAGAGAACTTTTCCAGTGTGAAAAAGGGAGAGAAGACATATGACCAACCATTAAATTTTTTTTAATAACATAGCATAAATCATTCCTCTGACTTAGTGAAATATCGATTCTTTTAACGAGCTCAATTAAATAGGGAATGATTTTTCTTTTCTAAACGAATTTAGGAAAATCTATACTAAATGCACTCCCTAATAACTTTTTAAGAGTCGATTAATTATGAATAGTCAGAAAGACAAAGAGATAATTTTACATATGTGTAGGGTTGAAGTTAAACTCCAAGCATTCAAATGCATTGAAGAATATTAGAGTAAGGCTAAACTTATTTATGGTTGTCTAAATTCCCAAACTAAAAAATGGTTAAAAAGAGAAACCTATAGTCTTACCATATTAAGAAGGGTAAGGCATTACAAAAGTTCTCTCTTGACTTTAAAAAAGTCAACTCATCTAAGTGATGAAATCAGAACTCCTTATGAGATTTAAGAAGATAAAAGCTTTTATCATGAAAATAAAAATGATAAAATGGTAAGCGATGACTGCATTATAATACCCACTTATATGATTGTCTTGTACTTTTTTGATTTTATGTTTCAAATATGTACAAAGACCATGTGTTTGTTTTGAATATCATGAAGTATGTTTTAGACATTATTCTATTAAATTCTTTAATATAAATATTGTATGCTTCATTTGAGTAGAAGCTTTTAGAAAATGCATTTTCTAAGAGTTGTAGATGAAAATCTATTCTAAAGTACTTGTAAATTTTTTTTGATAGATGTTAGTGGCATTATTGGAATCCATGTGATGGGAGGTATAAATGTAATCTCCTGATCATAAACCTAATGATATCATTTTTATTCTAGTTAAGAATAATACAAATACGTGATATTGTATGTTTTATCGTGCTATATTGCTAGAATAGAATGTTACTTTGGCTTAATTCAATGACAAAAAATACTATTCGTATGGAATAGTTTTGTAATTGGATTGAGAATGGCTATTAAAAACATAATTGCTAAATTAGACAAAGGGGATAAGCTTTGTAATTGGATTGAGAATGGCTATAAAAACATAATTGCTGAATTGGACAAAAGGGATAAGCTATATGGAGGCAATTGGGATATTTGGCACTAAAAGGTCTTATACATGTTAAAGGAACAAGATGTGATTAAGTTATTGATTATAGGGATGGTGGAACCTAGAGCTAGGGATGCTGCCCAGCATAAGAGGGATCACAAGGCTTACAGGGCTCGGAGAAAGAAAAACAACATAGCACCTATTACTTTACTGAGTGCAATGGTTGATGACCTTATCTACTAGTATGTAAAGTACACCATAGCCTAAGCTATATGGATCACACTAAAAGACAAGTTTGGATGTATTTCCACCACTAAACTAAAAAGGTTGACAATTAAGTTTGATACCTTTAAGTTGAGGCTCAATACTCCTATGAAAAAGCATATACGAGAGATGGCTAACATGATCTGAGATTTGAAAGAAGCTGGGCACGTATTGTTGATGAAAAACAAGTTCAAGCTATTGTAAAATTGCTCTCTTCTAGTTGGGAGCACATGAAAGTGAATTTTAACCCATAATGAAAACATAGTCATTTTTGACGATGTAGTAAAACATCTGAAGCTTGAAGATGAACACCTTAAGGCTTTATAAATTCTTTTGAAAAGGCATATATAACTAAGGGAGTTGGTCCTTTTAACACCTAGCTTGATTCCCAAAATGGCAAGAAGAGTAAGAAGGATGACTTAAATTTCAAGAATGAGAAATCATTCAAGAAGAAGGGTAAGAAAGGTAGGATAAAAGCTAACCTAAGCATAGTCGAATGCTATACTTACTAGAAAATAGGCTGCTCCACAAGAGATTGTCCAAAGTGAAACAAATAGGATAAGATACTAAGAAATTGAGTCAATTCACATATTTCAAATGTAATTAGTACTATATTTTTCTAACAGAACTTGTTTATTCTTCTTGAATTGTAGACTCATACTCCACGAGCAGAAATGAATAGGGATCGAGGATCCTTTGTAGAGTATCATCGCTTGCTGAATTCAAAGCAAATGGCTTTATATTGACAAAAAGATAACAAATATAACAAAATACATGGCATTTTATGTAAACAAATAATAGATGTATAAACATTATATTATTTTTTAAATATTTGTTTTTGTATTAGTTTTAAATACTTACTTTTGTATTAATTTTATCCATATTTTTTTGCTATCAATTGGTGCATAGTTTTCCAGTATTAAACAATAAATTATTATTTATATAATTCTTATCAATCATAGTTTTTAAATATTTTTCTTTTCATTTGTTTATATAAAATGATGTTTTAATTGATATCAAATAATAAAATTATAATTTTTTTCTTAAATTGTGTTAACAATAATGAGAACAAAGTCACTCAACTGAAAAAACAAGCACATCGCCATGTGTGTTAAAAATAAAAATTATATTAATTTTACTCCTCCTTAAATTGTGTTAAAAAATTAATAAAAATATTTTTTATGTCATGTGCCATACATATTTTATTAATTTGATGTGACAAATTCTACTCTGCAGCCAAAAGAAAAAAGATATAACAAAATCTATTAATAATATAATAGAATTAATTAATGGTAGAGGGCTTTGAAAAATAAAATTAAATATTATATGAGTTAATTTTAAATGTTTAAAGATAAATGGGTTATATACAACTCCCTCAAAATTTAAAAAAATTTATACATTTTAGCAAATTTTTAGGGATGGTTTTATAGTGAATAACAAATTTTAGCAAGCTAATGATTTAGATAATAGTGTTTTCATTAATTTGTACTTGATGCATTTATAATTTTCTTGTACTCTTTCTTTTCATTTTAAAATAATTTTCACTTTAAATCATATATAAAAATTAGGAAATTTTTTGACAACTCAAACTGAAGCAAATTTAATATTCTTTTTATTTCAAATTATAAAATATTTTTTAGAGACGATTCAACATATTTAAAATATAAGATACTTTGATAAAAATAAAATTTTATTAATAAAAGTTTTTAATATTATTCTTTTTATATATTCTCTCTTTTTAATATTTTTTTATTAATGAAGTATTAAATTAAGGGTATTTTTAAAAATTTATATTTTTTTTAAAATTAAAATTATAAAATATATTTAATAAATTTTATTAATATATAAAATTTTATTTAAAAATATTTTTTAATTTAGGATGAAGTGAGTATTATTTAACTAAAGTCAGAGTTGGATGGAATCATTAAAAGAAAAAAGAAATGATAACGTTGGGATATTTGAGGGAGGGGAATCGCTCGGAAACGCAAATCTTGACCGTTTCCCTATTGGCGGTGCGCGCGCTATTCGCTTCTTACCGCTCCTCTTGCCCAATACTCACTTGACGTACTTACCGTTTCCTCCGTATTGTATATCATTCTCTATACCCCCGTCACTTTTCATTCTGCCTTCCCGCACGTCGCTGTTGGGGAAGATGAGGTCATCCGATAATGTACAATCTACTCTCTTCTCTTGTTTCTTTGTTTTGTGTCTTTTAATTAATTCTTTCCTGGGCTTTTACGGTTCGATAAATTTCAGATCAACGCCAGGCATGTGATCGATTCTCATTTCATGTGTTGGCCACTATAATAACTCATTTATATATGGAACGATTTGTGTCTGCTAATTTTTGCGCACAATTTTACTTTCTTACCATTTTTTTTTTTTTTTTGCATTCTTCCATCCATCAATGCCGTCATCGTCTTTATCTAGGTTTTATTCCCTCCAATTCGTCATCCGCTTCCTTAAAGTTTTATAAATGCTTCTGAGTACACTTTTCCCTCCTTCCTTCTACCAGGCATCTTTATTTGCCGCTGATTCCAAGAGTAAAAAATCATATCCTTGTGTTATCTTCCCGGCAGCCGGCTTACTTTGTGTTGTCACGTTCGTTACAAGTTCATTTTTTGCAGAAGGCTGCAGAGAGGTACGTGAATAAATTCTTTAAAGTGATAAACCACTCAAAAGCGGTGGCCCATAAAGTGTTTCTTTCCACCTGAACATATTTATAAGCTTGTGTGTAAAAGCGATGTCGATAATGAGGAATTCCATTTTTTTCAAACTTCAATACTTTGGGTTGGTCATTTTGATCTCGCATACTGCAGAAATTAATAGGATGGAGAACGCATAATGCTCTTCAAAGTTTGGAAACTGACAAATGCAAGGTTTGTTTGCCTCACCATGGATGCTCTTATACTCCGACATCATATAATATTTTTAGATGATTTACTCATTATCTGCCATTACAAAATGTTCAGATTTTGTGCTGATATTGTTTATCTTGTTTAGTAGAACCAGTGCAGACCCAGAGGAAGTGAGACATTACCTCAAGGTATAGTCTCCAATACTTCGGATTTCAAGATGCGACGTATATGGGATCCTCCGGGAAGAAGTCGCGTCAAAATGGATGTAAGCTTCGGTGTGTCGTGATTGTTCAAATTTTGTGTGTGCATTTTTGTGACCCATGAAGAAAAAATAGCGTGGGCAAATTGATTACTTCCTAAATTATATAAGAAGCGCCAAAGTGGTATGTGTCTGTGAACGCACAATATCAAGCTTACAGGGATTGCATTAACCTCCCAGCTGAATTATATAGCTTGAGATAGAACCTTGATATCTCACCATTTACATTGCTTATGGTATTTTAGTCAACTTAAGCTTGAAATTATTGCTGGCTTATTAAAACGTGTGCTCTGACTTTATGCGTGTCTAATAAGAGAAGATTGTGCCTTATGATTTAGCCAGCCTGTATAAATCTTAAAAAAATTTCTGTCTCTCGTTTTAAGCGGTTGTTGCTTGCCTTTTCTACTTAAACCTTCGTTATCTTTATCCATTACCCAGTTAATTACCATAATGCATGTACCATCGGTTCAGTCTCACTTTCATGTTATGCTCCTTCAAGTAATTTATCTGCGATCGTGGTTGTGCTTGACTTGCACAAATTATAACAGATTAAGGCAAATATGTCAACCAATTTGTTTGCGGTGACAGTAGGGATAAAGCAGAAAGATCTTGTGAGCAAAATGGTCCAAAAGGTCTGCCAACCCATTCTGCAGTTGCTTGTTACAGACTTTCATTTTGGTGCATGAATCTTGACCTTTCTTTCCTTTTAAATTTCAGTTTCTAGCAAGTGATTTCATTGTGATGCTCTTCCATTATGATGGTATTGTTGACAAATGGAAGGGTTTTGAATGGAGTGATCAAGTGATTCATGTGTCTGCCATTAATCAAAGTAAATGGTAAATAATCCCCATTTTTCTTCGACATCAATAATGGTAATATTAGTAACCCTAAATGTGGTTTTTCATGTACCTCTTTTTATTGATTAGGTGGTTTGCCAAGCGTTTCTTACACCCTGACATAGTTGCAGATTATGGATATATTTTCCTTTGGGATGAGGACCTCGGAGTTGAAAATTTCCATCCTGATAAGTATGTCAAATGCGTTTACCTAGAGCAGTGAATAGTTTATTCTATGAATATTGGATTAGGCTAACTTTTTACCCCTCCTGGACCGTTAAACTAATTCAAGGGCTAATGCTATATGAATAGAACAAATGCACACCAAATATAATGTTGTAGGCTTGAAGTTAACATAATCTATAAGCAAATAAATATCTATCCTCTCGTGTAGCTTTTATCAGCAAATTAAAAATCAATTTATTGGAAGGTTAGGTTAATTTTAATGGGAAAACTTCGCAAGCACATTAATCATCATCTTAACAAGGAATGTTCGATGTCTCCTGGTTGATTTTAGGTATGTTTCTATCATCAAAAGAGAAGGGCTGGAGGTATCACAACCTGCACTTGATCCTAAAGAATCAGAAGTACATCATCAGATTACTGTACGTGGGAAGTCAGAAGTTCACAGGTATCCTTCTTACCACATGAATCTACAAAACATATTTATTGAAGCCTGTAACCACGTTTATGATAGCAAAGCTTTACTGAACCACTAACCAGCAATCAATACTTATATGTGACTTAAGTCTTATTGAAGTCTTATGGAAGTCCATCTCCCGGTCAACCCCTCTCGCCCCTTCTTTTCTGATGGCATATTTGCCTTGTATTTTTGTGGTTTGGTTACCTCGTACTGCACGCCTACCTGCAGAGGACATCTAATGAGGTGGTCCTGACTTCAATTACCCCAGCCTCCACTGATGAGAAAGAGACCGCCTGGGGGGGGGGACAAAGAGAAGAAAAGGCGTTTTCATGTTTCTGATGATGTATTCAATGAATGTGGTTCAAATCGATTCTTCTGTATGCTGCATACTTTTGGTCATTTTGTATTTGCAGAAGGACATACAAAGCTGCTGGCAGTGGTAAAGGGTGTGATGATGACAGTACTGCTCCTCCTTGCACCGGGTACAAGTTTCTTGCTGTAACCTCACAGGAACCTTTTGTTTTATTATTTCTAGTTGAAGAAAGACCAAGTTTTTGCTTTAGGTGGATAGAGATGATGGCTCCTGTTTTCTCTGGAGCTGCCTGGCGCTGCGTTTGGTACATGATCCAGGTGTGTCATTCTGTAATGCTTAGCATTGCTGCAGCCATCACTCTGTATAACATGTTCATTTATTGTTTATGACTCATTTTACAGAGTGACTTGGTCCATGCATGGGGACTAGATATCCAGCTTGGCTATTGCGCGCAGGCAAGCAAAATTCATTATTTTTGTCTCGGGATATCATCCATCCTTTGCTTTTGGTTTTTACTTCAATCGTAACCTTGCTTTTTCTGTATAGGGTGACCGAACCAAAAATGTTGGTGTTGTGGATGCCGAATACATAGCCCACTATAATCGCCCCACTCTTGGAGCTTCACTAGACGAGAATACTGAGGTCAGAAATACAGCATCTCCATCAGAGAGTTCAGTCGCAGATACTTTGATTTCCTATTACGCCTCTACTTTGGAAGGCATAATTGAAATGAAACTGAGAATTGTCCATGACATGCAGGTTTCATCTCAGGCTAAGGATCACAGAGTTGATGTAAGTTATCATCCTGTCCTTTCTTGATTTATCAAGTGAAGCCATCGTTAACGTTGCATTCTGCACTTCTAGATATGATTACAAAGCCCCAGTTCAGTAACAGTCAGATTATGTTCTGGCTAAGTAACTCGTGCTTCTGACTGGGCAAAAAGAAAAGCTTTTGTCTATGAATTTTCATGGTGCATTTGCTGGGGTTTTGTGGCAATAGTCAACGCAAATAATCCCCCTGGCCTTGGGTGCGACCTTGTAAATTGAAACCAACTATATTACTCGGTCAATGATCATGGCTTTGCCAGTTGATTGTAGATGATCAACTGTTCATATCTGAATAAAGAATATATTGGTGGAGTGCAGGTGAGAAGACTGTCGTTTCGCGAATTGCGCGAATTTAGAAAAAGATGGAAAGCGGCAGTGGAGCGGGATGAATGTTGGAAGGATCCATTTAAATAATAAATAGCGAACGCAACATCTTGTTTCAAATTTTCAAAAACAAATACCCATCTGCTTTCCGGAAACAGAAGCAGAACCAAGTTAAGCGGCAGTTATAGCTTCTGTTGTACATGTCAAGAGACAAGTTTAGGGGAGAGAAGTGTTGTAAATCTGCGGGTACGCGTTTTTACCTTATGTTTCAGCTGATACCTTGTTTCCGTCATATTTCTTATGTAAATATTGAATGACAGACTACGCAATTTTAATTGATTTGAAGCACTAACTAGTAGTCTAGTACTTTTGTGGTTGAATGTGCTAATAAAATCATCCTCAGCTTATGACCTTTCTTGCAATGCGAAAAAATGACTATGGAGCATTCCCAAGTGTAGCAAGTGGATAAAGCCCAAGCCATGTTCCTAAAAATAAAATTTACCTGAGATCTTGCAAATCGTGGAACGCCTCTTACAAAGTTTTAGATCCAAAATGTTTTAAACTTTGTGCAAGACTTTCTATAAATGTATGGAAAGTAAACAAGACTTTCTACAAGCCTAGACTATTTTGTAAATTATGCAAGACTTCATGCATATATGTATGTGTGTGAATGTAAGTGTTTTAACTTTGTAACTTGTGAACTAAAATCTTATGAATTATACAAGACCGCTATAAGAAAGTTTTGATCATTTTACAGTTCAAATTAATCGCTAACAAGGACCTTGGTCGTTATTAGCTATTGAGCAAATATGAAACCCTTGATGACAAATATGTTTATCATTTGGTTTTTATGACTTATGAGCAATTTTGCCTTATAATATTAATAAAAGTCAAAGTTATTGCTTGAATTAAGTCTACGCTATGCTCATTTCTTCAAAACCCAAATTACCTTGCAAGAGGATTATAGAATAGTAATTATATGATTAAATTACTTAAAAAATTATTTAGTTAGAAGAATATTGGGGAAAAAAATAAGAACATAAACATGATTTAAATAATATCAATGGTAACTTGTAGGAGGTTATTACTCTCAAATTTAAAATTTATAGAAAGTTGCACTATTTACCACTCATAAATAGTGTTGCTCATTTTTCAATTTTCATACCATGCAAGAGACTCAAATCTTAGTCCTTGTTACATTACAATCGAAGTTCAAATGGTAATGACACACGCTGTGTAATTGCTCCTGAAAATCAGATGCAAATCAACATTACACGGGTGTGTTAGCTTGTGTTGAAAAGCAAAGGCATTAAATCAAAATTTCATGACGCTCGTTGCTTGGATGGTTGAACAAGTCCTGCAAGAATTGAATTGGAAACTCGGGCAATAGGTCTCACGGAGAAATAATCACATTGCAACACGACGGTAATTAAAAAAAAAGGGGGAGGGGAATTGACCCATCCTTCAACCATACTTTTATTCGATAGATAAGAATAATATTTATATGACCTTTGTTTAAAAAAAAAAAAAAGGTTAAACTCACAATCATATTTTTAGGGAAGTAAATTCTTGTTGTCTCTCTCTGACGCAAGAAGTAAATTTTTGTTCAAGTCGGCTTATCCAACATACTCGTAATGTTTTTGTAGACTTATATTATTATTAATATATCCTCCTCGGATAGCAAGAATACTCTCAGAATGAACATGTATAGAGTTTAACACTCAAGTTTATCCCTCTAGTGTGTATGGTTTCTTGAATTATTGTCATTGCCTTGTATTGACAAACAACATGCTGATCATACCACTCACAATAGTAATTGTATGAACAATTTATTATTTGTTGCCATGGGAAAACACATTTATCATCTAACATGTATATCTTCATGAATAACAAACGCCACTATATGATCTAGACATGAATGACTTGCTACACTAGATCAATCCTTCAACTTCTAGCATGCTATTCATGGGGGCTGATGCGAATAATAATCGCGGGGGATAATTTTCACATGAGGAAAGTCGTCGTGGGGGCCGATGAGAGCTGCATAAAATGCCTCCAATCTATAGGCCCGTCAACTAAATTGTGCTCTTGAGGAATAGTGAATGAACAGCAGATATGATTCTCGGTAAAGAAAGATTCAACTTCCAGGCTATCAACTTCGTCTAAGATATCGGCCTTTCACATTATTACCCTCCCCTCCTTAATACTCAATACTGATACCCTGTAATCACTACATCTACCACATCCTACTCTCATCAGAATAGCTATTTTTAATTTCTGCTTTAAGATATGACACAGGCCACGTATTTGTGACACCAAATCCGTGAGCAGCTCATGAACGATATGTGTCTCTGCAACAGAGAGGCTACTGCCCGAAGTCTCTGGAAATAAATTGTAGACCAGACCGAGATTTTGTTGCATGTGAACTTTGAACCAATCCAAGGCAGAAAAAACCATCTTCCTCTAATAATTGGATCATGCAGCTTTGTTGGCTGACCCACGGAGCATTCTCTACAATAGCACCCGTCATGTTTGCTCAGCAGATCAGAATCCTATAACTCTGAAGTCAAAACATATCTATGCTCAGTCTCTCGGCATACTAACTTTAACCTAAAATACATGGTCCTGCACTCCTGCCACTACTACCTCCAACTTCCACTCACCCTTCACGCAGATTGAACTATCGATGAACCATAGGTTAAAAAAAAAAAAAATTTGACAGGAAAAAATGACGGAAATACAAATCAAAATTTGAAAAGAGCCATCAACATTAACCTCACACGGCTACTTTGAATTTCGTAAAAGACATAGAACTGATAGTAGGCAGCCCATGAATATAGTGAGTAGAATTAAAATAATGATGATACCGTTGCCGAAGGTTAATTCTACATGCATGCAGTAGACAGCACAAATCCAACATCTATGACAAGCTAAAAGCTCTGCGATGAATTTCAGACCTGCGTTAAACAATTATCACAAAGGAGGCAGCATTTGGTTATCAATAAATTATTAAAGAAGATGATTTTACATCACAGGAATAAGTTCGTTAAAAAGACAGGCTTGAGAACAGAAGAAATGTTCACATCAGGTTTGACCTCATGAGACAATATTTGATGAATTTTATACAATATGGCAACATGAAATCCAGAACAGTTATATCAGTCAACTGCATGCATTATCAGGTTGACAGAATTACCATGACATGACCTCTGTACATCTCCAGCAATGGAGAAAATGAATTTACATTTTACAGTTACTCATTTATCTCCCAAAAAAAAAGTGTAAAAGGCAAATGACCCATTTCTAAAACACTTCATTCATGCCTCATCATCAATGCTATCTTCAGAAGACATCGGTCTAGTCTCTGACAGTGAAAGCCGTCGGGGCTTCACCGAGCCTGACTCAACAAGTCCTTCTGATGATAAATTCAATGCAGCAGTTCCTGATGATGACCCCAATAAACGACGGACAGGGGTATCAGATGAAGGTGATGCAGACATATTGTAAGGGAAGATTTCCATTGGATGATCAAACTTGCAACTTGGGCCAAATTTGCAAATGCCATAACGAGAATAGAAGACACACAAAGGCTCTCCCTGTAGTAGGAAATTTGACAATGCATTTATCAGCTTGTAGCATATCAATAAGGATCAGACTAAGATAAATCAAGAACTGCATGGAATAACTCCAATAATGTTCAGAAACCATGATTTGATCAGAAAAACATAACAAGAAAAAACATGCTCCAAATAATTCGCTGCTCACTTTTCCTTTATCATTTCATATTTTTAGTTTCACCACTGCTTAAAGCCATTAATGCCCCTGTTCTATGTCCCCTTCAAGAAATCTCAGTGTGCGTGTAATGCACTGCTCCTATGGTTTCTTAACAGGTTTTTGACACATTGTGATTTGAATGACTTATAGATTGCTATCCATAAAGGAGAACTTGTAACTTTCTAAGTAAAGAAGAATTGTTTACAACAGGAAACAAATAGGTATTATTTATTACAATTACAAGTGGTAATAAATCAGGCAAGCCAGCAGTAAAATTAGAAAGACTACTCTTTTTCAAGACCTTAATAGATTCAAACCTAGACGAACTATCATGCAGTACACATCAGAAAACAATAGAAGCTAAGACAATGGGGAAAACCATCATGGTAGAAATACGTTGCTGATAAGGAACAGAACTCACCGGACGTAAAGGAAGGCCTATAGGACTCAAGACACAGTCAGGTGTGGGTATTAATCTCTCACGTGGATGATGAAACCGACAGACTGCACCAAACTTGCAATCTCCAGTCTTCATGTAGAATTGGCATTCGGGCTGACCAGGCCTCTCAGGAAATATGTTCTCCCTCTGCAGAGCATAAAACCCCAAAGGAACAGAGCCAGAACGAAATTGAGAATATGTCCCCTGAGATCCTGCACTTGCTGGTTCACCCATGCGGGAAGTTCCATACATCTGACCATTTCCTATTGTTTGCTGTGGACTGTCTGACGTAGAGATTGATCCAATCTGACCCTGAAGAATACAAATAGCCCATTAGCTTGTTGGCATGCCTCAGCAAATAACAAATTTTAGCATAAGAAACAGGATGCTTATGTCCAATGTTGAATCACAATAAGTTAAACTCAAGATAGCCCCATCTCAGAACAGTACCTCATAATCATCTACATGTCCACATAAAAAGCACACCATTTCTCATATTTTCTTTAAGAAAGCATGGATGAGCTTACACTGTATGCACTCCACCCAGGAACTGAAACCACTCCCTGAGGTAAAATCAAAGGTGCATAGCTTGAAGGGCCTTGCCAGCGTGGACTAGGAACATAAGAAGCTCTAGACCAATTTGTCATTCCCCCTGCATATGATGACTGCTGGCTAGGTGTAGTTGGAGAATGAATAGTAGGATAAACAGGAGAACCCCGCAATGAAATCATCACATTATTTGGCTGAGGATGGTGGAATTTGCAAGTGCTCCCAAATTTGCATTGTCCAGTTCTCAAATAATAAGCACATTCAGGTTCATTCTTCATAACAGAAAACAAAAATAAAATAAAATACAACAATAAAATCAGTAATCCCCAAAAACCAGAGAAAGCATCTAGAAAAGATTCAGATGTCATCAATGCATAACTGCATCCCAAAAAATTTGGAAAACCATGGGACAAAAATAAGGATAATTTGAATTAAATGTTTGCTTGCCTAAATGTGTATTAACCATGTCAATTTTGTTAGCCCAACCAACCAATGAGGCAAGACTAAACCACAAATTGATTAATTACTTGTATTTGTTTAATAAAAAAATAATTACTTGCGTAGAAGTCATATAAAACTGCAAGGAAAAT